TCTAGAGAGAGTGACGAACAACAAAGGAGAAGAAAGCTAGGGTTCATCCAAACTTCAAGATTTGGGAATCTCATCCACCTAGGTAGATCTCCACACCAAAGGAAGAAGGAGAACATCTCAATATGGTCTTTTCTCTTCTCCTTTGTGTATTCCCTAGTCTTAGCATGGAGTAGTTCCCTTGTTTCACTTGGGTGTTTTTGAATCCTACCTAGAACTATGTGATTGATTATATGAATTGAATGTTTTGAGTGTGGTTTGTATTTTAATGCGAGCACTGAGGTATTTTCATGAAGGTTGAGTTGTGTTTCCCATTTCTCATTATTATTCCATTTTGACCTAGGTAGAGGGAAATCCCCATTCTTGCTAAGAAGAGGCTTTTAAAAGCTTGAATTCTTTAGCCAAATTGAGCCTCCTACCTTGGCCAAATTAGGGCAAACCTTATACTACATTTTAGCACCTTGTTGGTTGTAGTTTAGCCATCCGGATTAAGATTCGGGGGAGAAGCCTTGACAACCCTTAGTCCATTGGTCAAGAGAGCTAATTCTTTAGCTTGTTTTGACATTCCTTGGCCTATCGACCGAGAGAGAAGCCTCTTCACTAGTTGCACTTCTCTACGGTTTACAACCACCTTTCCGCATACTTGCATTCTTTTTGTCTAATCTTGATACCTAGCTAGGGGGAGCAACACCCGGGTGAAGCCTTTTCAATTAGTGTTCAAAACTATTTACCTTTTCGCTTTCTTTCAATTGTAATCCATAGTTTTAACCAAACATCGATTGCTAGATAATGTTTAAAACGATTGAAGTAGTGGTACATGGACCAGCCAGTATTTGACATTTAAATACTTGTTCTATACTGCACTCGGCTAGAGTTTATACTTGGGCTCTATTTTGGATCTTAAATCGTGGTATTCGGAAGAGTCAAGTTTTTAGTGCCATAGCCGGGGAAATTTGATCCATTATTTTGAAAAGCTCGTTTGGTGTTAATCTAGCTTTTACATTGTTAATTGTGAACTTGCTTGCGTTTGGCTCGAGTTGTGTTTCTTTGAAGTGTGTGAAGGAGGGTGTTTGACACGGAATAATACAATATCTGTGGTGCCACTAGACGAGAACCTGAATCGCACTCTCCGACTCTTAGCTTGGGAGAGGGAGTTGGTTGAGGCAAGGAGAAGGATTGAGGAGAGGGGACAGCCACAAGGTGAACCGGAAGTTGAAGTTGAAGAGGAAGTTGAATCGGAGGAAGAGGAAGAAATTGAAGCTAAGATGGCAGAGAATCAAAACGGCCAAAATGGGAATGAGGAACTGAGGACCATGGGCTACTATATGGCTCGGCAGGAGGCAAACATTCATTGGACCATTTTGCATCAGTCCATGGCCGCCAACAATTTCGAGATCAAGCCTGGCCTCGTCACGATGATCCAAAACAACCTCCAATTCCATGGGCTCAAGGATGAGTCTCTGAGGAAGCATGTTCAGAAATTCATTGAGATTTCTGGAAGTTTGAAGATCAATGGGGTATCCGAAAAGGCTTTGAAGTTGAGGGTTTTCCCCTACTCTCTCGCGGGGAAAGAGGTCAGGTGGCTCAACAATAGACCACCCCTCTCGATTACCTCATGGGATGACTTGCTCAACAAGTTAATGGCCCGATATTGTCCACCTTCCAAGATGGCGAATTGGCGTAAGAAGATCACTCACTTGCCCAAGAGGAGGATGTGACTTTGAGGGATGCATGGGAGAGGTACCCTGACTTTTTCCTCCAATGTCCATATCATGAGTTTGGAGAGCAGTTTCGGATCGAAACCTTCTACGACGGTCTTCTTCAAGAAGATAAGATTCTCATTGACTCCTTATGTCAAGGGAACTTCATGAAAAAGAATCCACCCTAGATGATGCTTTGCTTGAAGATATGGAAACAAAGGGGTGTATGATTGGGGTTTAAAGAGACATGTTAGAAGGGAAGCCAGTACGCACCACGGAGGCGGATTCTCCGTTTACCTCCAAGATTGATAAGTTGATATCGGCGCTTCTAGAAGATAAAAAGCAAGGCAAGAAGCCGATGATGGCGTGTGATTGGTGTTCAAGTCCATGAGATTGCGGAGTACAAATTGATGAGGGAAGCAAGTACTCTGGAAGAGCAAGTGAGATTCATTGCCAATGCTAGGGGGAGCAACAACAACAATAACCCTATAGGAACACCTACAATCCAGGTTGCAACCATCCCAACTTTGCATGGTCTTTCCCAAGGAATCCAAGACCCCCCCGGTTTCGAAGGAGCAACGGGGAATTATCAACCAAGGCCACAATTCCAAGGCTCGAACTTCCAACAAAAACAATTCCAACCGCAAGGTGGTCAAGGCTTCCAACAACAACAATAACCCGACAGGTTTGCAAAACTAGAAGACCTAGTCACCACCTTTGTGAGTACAAGTTCTCAGAAGTTCGAGAAAATTGGACAATTTATAGAGGTATCAAAAATAATTTTTCTATGGCTGAGGGGGGTCTAAGAAGCCATCAAGCAACTCTTCAAAACTTGGAGACCCAAATCGGCAATCTTGCCGAGATCATCACTAAGAGACCGAGAGGAGCTCTACCTCCCAAACTATTGCCAACCCTAAGGATCAAAATGCAATGCAATGCTATTCTCTTGAGGAGCGGGAAGGTAACTCCGAATGTTGTTGCTAAGGAGACAATTGAATAGGAGGAAGCCCCTCTAAAGATTGATGAACAAGAACTCTCGGAAAGAGAGGGTGAAGAGGCTAAGAAGGTATCGCCGAAGCCACCACAAGTGGGTTGAGTACAAGCCTCATCTTCCTTTCCCTACAAGGGTGCACAAAGAACGCTTGGAGGTGGAATGATGCACAATCATGGAGATGCTCAAGAAGCTTTGAATCAGAATCTCTTTCTTGGAGGAAATGGTGTACATGCCAAGGTATGCCAAGTATCTAAAAGGGATTCTTGCAAAGAAGCGGAAGCACGAAGACCTCGTCACTGCCACCGTGACTAAAGAACTTTGAATCATTTCCTGCTTTCTTACTGCTTTTAGTTAAAATCACAATCACTCGACTTAGTTTGCTAGCTAATAGATAATCACAGAGTAGGCAGTAGATCTAGACCCCGGGTTGACAAATAGAGCTTGCCACTTACTGCATTTCCGGACTGCGATTACACTTGGTCGCAGTTTGGTGTTGTGTTTTAGCGTGTCAGCAGTCTTCTGGCATATAATGCAGTTGAGTTGATGTTGTTGTTGCCGTCGGATTTTCCTTTTCAGCCTTTCTCCATTTATAGCCTTGCTCCATTAATGTTCCTTCGTCACGAACATTGTGTTCGCCTGGACTACTGCCATGATATGGGGGGAATTTTTTTATGGGTAGGATATATGGGACTGGTTTAGGAGGCTAGGATAGTGGTATCAGCTCTCATATCAAATTTGTTGGTCACAGCGGAAATATGTAGTGGGTTTAGTATCGAATACCAGAGAAAATTATTTCACTCCAATATTATTAACAGAACAATATTACAATAGGCAATTGTTGCCTTTTACATTAGAGATGCTGCTCTTTATTATTTTGCTCTTACCCTCACAAACTCTCAACCCACATATTCTCCCCATGGATTAAGCAAGTTTATTGCCTTAACCCCTTTGAGAGGACCTTATGCTCTCTAGCTCTCTCTGCCTTACAAGCCTCTCCAAGGCCATCTATTTATTATGATCTCAAGGTTGTCCACCGCCTTTCATGGAAGCCTCTGGATGCAATTATTAATAAAGTGGGTAGGTTCAATATGTGGTGTTTAGTTTGGGTAGCTAGCACCTTAGCAAAATATTTTGCTGCAAGTGGGACTGATTTTTTCTAGTCTCCAAATTAATCAAGAACGGTCTGGAGAATTGCAGATTATGACTTTATCATATCGGGACTAGAAGGTGGTGTTGGTGGTGGCGTGATTGGCACACAATCCTTCTCCACATCTTCCCATTTGTAATACTTGTGAAAATTGGGAACTGGGTTCATCTTGTATCGGATCTCTACCTCACCAAACCTTAGTATGATTCGGCTTTCGCTAACATCAATGATTGTCCTTGGGTTAGCCATGAATGATTGATGCATCAACACACCCTTCGATGTCTAGGATGACAAAGTCCACAGGGTAAACAAAATGAGCGCATCTTACCAAGACATTTTCGACTATACCACAAGGCGTAGCAATAGATAGGTTAACTAGCTCAATCTTCATGCTTGCTGGAGTTAGTGGCACAAGTTTGAGCTCCTTGTAGGCAATAATATTGATGCTCGAACCCAAGTCGGCTAAAGAATTTCAAAAAGTCTTGCACTTAAGGTACGAGGAATGGTAAACACACCTGGATCTCTCATCTTTGGAGGCATGCCTTCGCAACCAATAGATGTTGAAGTGACTTCACTCATGGTGACCATAGCAACTTCCTCCATTTTCCTCTTTCTCGATATGATTTCCTTAAGAAATTTGTATACTTGAGAATCGTCATAACCATCTCCAAGAAAGGAACAGTTGCCTTGAGTTGCTTGATAGTATCCTTTCATTGAGCACATTCATGATGTAAGTCACTTTCAAACAATCTCTTGGGATAAGATGCCTTTGGAATGTATTCGGGTACTTGAGGCTTCTTAGGAATATCTTCCTCCTCGATATTGATCTTGGTGGGGGACAATCCTTTCTTCTTCAACACGATTCTCTTCTTGAGCAATTTCTCTTTGAACATTCCTCAAAAGTGCTCGGGGCATTGGTCTCTGAAATTACTTCAATGGTCAACCACTTTTAAGAGTTACCGTATGACATCCTTCTTTTGAGTTAGGTGCCATATTACCAGGAAACTCCTTGAGATATTGCCGCAAAAGATTGACCCATTGTGCTAAAATACATGGGATAGAGGGTAGGTGAATTGCTCCTATAAATAGATAATTACAATATTACTTTTAATGAATTATTTTAGCATGCTACTAACACTTCGGTCCATTCATAGCATTTTACCAAAAATTATTGACAATTTGGGCCAATCGTCGGAAATTTTTCGTACTAATGATGCCTGTCGAGCACTAGATTCAACTTCCATTATACTATTATTCCAACAGATCAGGAATGCATGACCGATGAAGTATGGTGGTGACGCAAGGTTTTTGAGACACAAACCCAAAAGCAAAATGCTTACACCGAACAAGAACTTTTTATATAACAAACTCTCAACCAATTATTTAAAACCAAAGTTGAAGTTTTTCTTCAGCATAGCACCAAAACATTCCATGCTAGCTTAGAGTATTCCTCTGGCAAACCATCAAGCTATCCTTCCCTTGACCATCGCATTCATTCCAACGTTGTGCATCCTCTTCAGGCTATCTTTGACTTCGGTCGTGATGGAAGCAACTACATTTGCAAAACCATGAAAAGGGGTAAACTCATCAATTCTCCTCACTGCAGACCACAATGCACCTCTCCTTTGGTGACAGTTACATCAATTTGAAATCGCAGGAACTTGAACTCTAGTAATCAATACAAATATACTATATCGTACTGCTCACAGCAACAGCGGAAATAATTGTCCAAACATCTACACAGCGCTCTCACTATATGCATTACCATACACGTCGAGTACATACCTGATAACAGGAGATCAAGGAGCTAGTAAATCCAAATGCTCCAGTTACACGAGGAGTAACTTTCTTGGGTGCCAACTGCAGAAGCCCAACTGCAACCACAATATCTATGCCTGCCTTGACGAGAGCTAGTGACCTCTCATTTGACTTTTGGAGCTTAGCACGGTATTGCTCGTTCTGCATTCAGTAAGAGTACCAAAAGCAACCAGGGCATAAGACATCTGGAAAGCAAACAGCTGACCAACAGGAATTGAGGGTATAAAATGGATAGCTTCGTACTTGATACTTATCAGTGTTCTTAAGCTCTTTCTCAAACTTCTTGATTGATGCAGACAGCCTACCGAGTTCCCCAACCTGGTATGAGAGAATACTAGGACATTATGCAACTATCTCAGCCAAACAAAGAACAATAACCCGTCTTGGGGTTTCGGTTCCTGGAGCGATTCAATCACAAACCTCAACCAAAGTGGTACAGATTGATGACCCCATCCAACAATACAGAGAGATGCGACCAAGTAGCTCAGCTCGTTCTTTGTTCTACAATAGAATAGAAAGAAGGTTTTGAGAATTGCCAAAATCCAATCTCAAATTCAAATATGTGAGCAAGAAAGTACAACATACCTTATAGATGCCAGTTCTACCAAGCCAAACTATTTGATCAAGGAATAAGAAAGTGGACAACAATGCATTTTTGGACTGCAATATCAATAAAGTGAACTATCACATAAGAGCAAAATAAAGAGCAGAAAGAAAACACATTAAATTATTCATTGGTAGAACTTCACACATACCTTTCCCAACAAAACAAGAGGAAGAGGAGTTCCTTGAGGTACTGGGCTGATCAAACCATGCAAATCATTGACAAACTGCAAGTTTTTGGAAAATGTCAGTAAAGCATGGATTGCAAACGGAACACCCCACAACATAACCGAACACATAATGTTAACTGACTGTAGCTGACCTTAAAGAGACGGAAAACTTTCCTTGCCAAGCTGGTGGATTTGTCTACGTTTTGAGCAGTTCCGGGTTGCCCGTTACTCAGGAATTTAGAGCCATATTGAATCGCCCTGCATATCTTGTCCCTTGCCTCGGCCTTGTTCAGATACAAAACTACGAGGGCAAGTTCAGCTCTTGTGGCATCCAAAGTAGTCATCTTTTACTCCACACAATACCTGCGTCATTCATTCAAGGGATTCATCAAACATTAGCCGTTCCTTAAGAAGCAAAAGATGATAGATAGACTACACTATTCAACCTCTGAAACTCCGCAGGGTAACGAAGGAAATGGGCAGGGAGAGACCCAAGAAATTACAACAATCCAAATCAGCGAATTCAAAACAAACACCGGTAAGCGAACGCTCAGACAGATGCTTTTAGTCAGAATAGACGTGTCGTAATCAAGATATTGTAACTGGTAACCATGATACTTCCTAAGTACTGCAGTCAGTCATTCCCATCCAAATCATTGAAACGCGCAATTCAGGAGAAGAAAGAAAACTGAACTCTCGCCAACAAATCTACCTTGGGAGTCCAATTCAAGCATGCAGTGGAAATCAAAATTCTCCAGCCAACTGCAGAGGGAGAGAGAGAGGAAGAGAGAAAGGAGAGGAGATTCACAACATCATTATCAGGAAGGCATGTTGGTTGAGTTCCAAGACAATTCAATACAACCCACCAAGGAAATGGAAACTGTAAACTGATACAACTGAAAACGAGTAGTACCAAAGAACGAGTAGAAGAAGAGGAAGAGAAAGAGCTAAGGTGGAGATTAGTGATCGACCTTTAAGGAAGTTGGGATAAAGGACAAATCTGCCTCCAAATCCAAAAGCCGGGGAGAGGATCGAAGAGAAAGAGAGAGGACGGCGAAGGTACCGAAAAGAGTGCCCGGCCCGGAGGTGGGAAGCGGATTAGGGATTTGGCCTCGAAAACCACAGAAAAGGAAATTTACTTTCTTTCTCTGAAACCAAACAATCTTCTAAGAAAATTAACACCCGCCCGCGTCAGCACTCAGTCTTACGATGCGATAAAGCCGTGACAAGAGCTTGTTTGGTCCTCTACTCTTCGCAGCTACGATACAAGCCTGTGCCGCTTTGTCCTTTACGATTGGCTGAAACGCTGCCGTAGAACGTTTGGAGGAAGTAAACGGGTTTCAAGAAAGACATCATCCCATGCGAACGTGTCTAGCTAGGTAAGCTCTTTGATGTTTTGTCTTTTTGTATTTAATAGGATAATTGCAAATTTGTCATTAGGATTACTAAAATATTTTATATTTGTTACTAAAATAATTTTATTGCATTCGTATAGTCACTAAGATTAGTTCAATAATTCAAATTTTTTCACGGTTATTACCTTCCGTCATTTTCCCTTAAGACCATCTCCAACAACTCACCCAAAATACCAAAAATGCTAAAAGAACAACTCCAACAACAATTGGGAAATGCTAAAAAGCCCTAAATGCTAAAACTTTCTGTCAAATACCAAATGGAAAAAGACAAGGAATGCTAGAATGTGGGTTAAGAGCCACCTCCCCCACCCCCCATCCCCCACCCCCAACCTTTTCCTTGAATTCGGTGCGCATAGGGGGAGTGCGCAGATTTTCCATTTCCAGCTCAGCCCCCGAGCTCCCTTCAACCACCATAGCTTGCGCAAGCTCACTAGAACTCAAGATTCAAGGCAAGCCTCCCAAACGAAAACTAATGTAGGGGCTCCAGGTTCCCAAACGAATCTCTCTCTTTATGGACGAAGAGGATACTGAAAAATTCTACGCAAAGTTCTGCAAAAATGTTGTCTTCAATCACAAGGAGCCAGCGCCATTGGGGGTGTGCCACAACTTCCCTCATGGCATCCCCACAGTTCATATCATCAAATTGGTTGAAATCGAGTCTCCAATGGGGCCCCATCGGAGCCCTTCTCCAGAATCTCATACCACCTTTAAGGCAGGCAACCGTGAGACCGCCGCAAGATACAGGTGATTCACATCATCCATCCTGCAAAACCATCAAAACCATACAACATACGTGGAAACATTCATCAATCTCAAATCAATGGGGAGAAAAGGAACCCCCCCAAACTTAGGCTTCCACTATGACTATATGCCTTTAAAGGCTTTTCCCAAGATCGATTGTCAAACGATTAAGCCGATTTCCACACAAGACACATCGAGGCATGATTCTAGGCGATTCATAGTTCATCAAGGTTGCAAATTCATACCTAAACCATGCCTCGATAGCCACCAACCATCATGGATAAAAGTGGATCAAACAATCATTCACATATTGCACTTGGTGGGCATTTTCACAAACTATACCAAATCTTGCGCACCAAGGCTCAATCCATTCCACAATCACTTCATGCACCATTCAATCATCGTAAATCGACTCAATATTCATGCATAAATCCATAAAATCCCCTCACCTAACAACCCTAATCTGATTCTCAAAAATTAACAAAGTAAAAGTTCAAACCACACCCGGAGACACAAGTAGGATCGAAGGGGAAGGTGAGAAGTTGGCGAGGGAGTCGAAAAACAGCCAAGAAATGGGCCGGAAGCTCACCTACAAATTGCCTTGCCCGAAAAAGTTGTGCCAAATCGCTCCAAAACTTCGGCGAAGAGGCGAGAAGTATGGGTCTAGTTTTGGTTTTGAAAATGCACGGCCGAAAGTCGACAAACTCGACGGGAAATGGATTGGAATCGCGATTTTCCGATGAGGTTCAGAGGATTGTGGCAAAAAATCGTTTGTGAAGAATGGGGGGTCACGGTCTCTCTTTTATAGCACAATCTCGAGGTTCACGGACGGGCTCGATTTTCACGGTCACTAAGACCATGAAAATAACTCCCCTACCGTGATCTCAGGCAAAAAGGTGAGTTTTGGATAAGTGGAGATCATGCCCTTCAAGATCATGGTCTCTGCCACATTGTCACGGTTTGACGAATGTGATAATAGAGCTAAAACCGTGGATTTCTGAAAAATAGGGCATTTTCCAATTTCTCAAGACTCGATCTAATCAACCGTTCTCCTAACTTAATCACAAAGCATCCAAAACTTTCAAATACAACTGTTGGGGTGCGGCTCGGGTCTACTCGCGTCAGTATAATAACGCGGAGTCACCACAGAAGAGCCAGACGCGCCAGTGGCAACACGGCTACACCTCCACCCGTGAGAGAGTCTCGCGCCAAGACACCGAACGACGACGTCTCAGTCGAGCGTTGACTAAGCCAAGGGAGGCCACAAACGGCACCGCATCCATCAGAGAGCAGTCATGTCACGGTCCAATCATAGTCCTAGGGATCATCATGAGTGAGCCCCCCTAGTCCTAGGTAGAAGTATGGTCTAAAGACTGACATGTCAGCAGTCACGTCACCTTTGTAAATATGGCATTTACTCTGGTGGGTGAGGGGATCGCATTTTTGCCACACTTTCACACTCTAAAACAAAGACTTTCTCCTCCCTAAAACCTTTGTGTTCTAAGCTTCTGATCATTCTCTTCTCTCACCCTGTTTTCATTCCCCGGAGTCTACCTCCTACTCTCAGTTAGACTCAAACAATTAGCGCCCACCGTGGGGCCAGAGTAGAGAAACGATAGAACAGAAAGATCACAAATGGCAGAGCCAAGCAACAGCACCCCCAACGAAGCAACCCCAATCAAGGCAATGACGAACTCAAGGTCATTCGCGGAGGCGAGTGAACTCAGCGCAGTCTTGATTGAAGAGGAAGAGCCCGAACTGACGGCCAAAGAGATGCGCCAGCAAATGACCAAACAAAACGAGGTCATAGCAGACATGCAAGCCAAGATGAACCAAATGATCGCCCTGATGGTGAGCAAGGACAACACCGCACCACATCTGAGCGCCCAGCCATGGCGCCACCAGCCGCGCCGCCAACAGACCGCCAAACAGCCAAACAAACCAACCCGTGTCCACGCGAAGAAGACCCGCAAGAGAGGGCAGACCTGAATTTCTTGGAGCAACACCTGTCCCCGCTATACCGCGCTCCGCCCAAAAAGGCCCTGCATCAACCCCTCTCCGCGGAAATTATGGCGGAGCACCTAAGCGGGGTGCCACCCACCCTGCCCACATACAACGGAACAACCGACCCAGAAGACCATGTCAGCAGCTTCTGTCTGCGCATGCAACTGCAGAAAAATTCCAACGCGGCCCTATGTCAGACCTTCCCATCCACATTCGCGTGCATATGCCTGGACTGGTACAATCGCCTCCCCAATGGGATCATCCACACATTCGAGGAGTTCATACTACTGTTCACGACAAAATTCGCCTCCCAGAAAAGGAGGCCACTCCACCTGAAAGCATTGATCGACCTAAAACAGAAGGAGGGCGAAAGCCTGCGGGCATTTTACTCCAGATGGTCGAGAACCGCCATGGCGGTACGCGACCTGACCCCAGAGACCGCCGCTCACCACCTCATGGAAGCTACCACCAACGCGGAACTCAAGCGCGCGCTGGCAAAAAGACCCGTCATCTCCTCCTCGGAACTAGAAACAAAAATCGAGAAAGCCATTACTCTGGAAGAAACACTGGGAGCGGGATCAGTCCGTCGCTGCGAACCAACAAAACCTCTCCCGCGAGAAGAACAAAGGCGTCGGGACCACAACTCCCGCTCCAGCAGTACCATAGCGGGTATGGCAAGCAACAAGGTCAGCAAGAGCCCGCCGGCGAGCTTTACCCCCCTGAACGACTCAGTAAAGAACATATTCCATCTTATCAGAGAGAAGGGGTACCGCGTCAACTGGCCAGCACCAATAAGAGCCCTCATGCACACGCCCGATCACAGGAAGCACTGCGACTTCCACCGGGAGCCGGGCCACACGATAGAAGATTGCTTCAACCTGCGCGTGGAAATAGAGGGGCTCATAAAAAGGGGATACCTGGCAGAATACATAAAGGGAGCGAAAGAAGAGCGGAAAGAGCAACAAAGTGCCCTACCACCGCCTCCACAGGCCGATTACAATGAGACAACCGGCTCTTACATCATCCGCAAGGAGATAGGGGTTGTCACGATCGAAGGGGACAGACCAAAGAAAAAGACAAAGCGGGATCACGCGGTCGAATGTGCAACAACAAGTGCCGCTATCAAGTGCGACCTGAGCTTCGGCAACTCAGAATTCCCGCGCGGAATCGCATCAGAAGAGCCACTGACGATAACGGCCCTAATAGATGGGGGAATCGCAAGGTACGCCGCCTACTCATAGATGGGGGAAGCGCGGTGGACGTTCTATTCAAGCCATGGTAAAGGAAACCGTACCGGACATCATACCGGATTCGTTTCTGGTAGGGTATTTTGTGGTAGAACCGTGATTTAACCGTTTCAAACCGTTAAATACCGTTTTTGTAATAATAAAATATTATTTTTGTCAAAAAACCGTACCGGTCAAAACATTGTATCGTTCCGGAAAATACCGGAATAAAACCGAAATATACCGGATGGCGAATAGAAAATCATATAATATCAACATAATTTTTCTAAAATAAATTAATATACTATTCAAATTAGTCCACAAATCCCTCCTGTCACGTACCATATTGGCCATTGGATCAATTTCCGTATCTCCCTCTCTCTCCTCCTTTCTTCTCAATTCTCTTTCTCCCTAGTCCCTATACGCCCTCACCAGTCACCACCATCAATCAATTTCCCATTCCCATTCTCTCTCCCTCCTTCTCCCTGTACCCTTTGTCCCTTTCATGTTTCACTATCAAAATCTACCTCCCTTCTCTCTCCTCCTTTCTTCTCCCTGTACGCCCTCACCACCATCAATCCATTTGACAATTTCCCATACCCATTCTCTCTCCCTCCTTCTCCCTGTACCTTCTCACTATCAAAATCGATTCCACATCCTCTGCCTTTCAAACAAATGCAGCACAAAATCAACGAGAGTAGAGGCTCAAGAGGGATTGTGCGAGAAGGGACCGCCGGAGGCAAGAGAAAGATTGGTGGTTCATGGAGGTTCGGTTGAGCAGGGGAGGAGCGATGGCGGAGAGGAGTGTCGGAGCAGAGAGCAGCGGCG